TTATTTGTACTATCTTTTCGATGATCTGTTCTCCATTAAGGATATGAACTATGCAAGAGAAGGATTTTGACATTAAATGGCCTACCTGATCTTCCTGAGAGTGCGTCAGAATTAGAGAGGAATGTCTACTTTGGATCGATGTTGTCCTTTGACAGTATCAATATGGTATGTATGCGCTGAGACACCCTCCTTTAACTGCAGTAGTATTATCATTCGCAATTTCGCTTCCATTTTATTGAAAGATTTTCTTTTCCATTGTAGTACCTTTTTTGGCAGTTTTGTCATTGCCCCTAAAGCACATCTTTTCCTTTTTCATAATGCAAAAGTCGCTGAAAGGGTTTTACTTTTCCATAGGTGAGAGCTGCTGGGGCGCTTATAAAGTTCCTGGACAAAAACAGAGTTGGGGTAGAGCTTGAAGATCCAGGCACGAAAGTACCCATTGTGGCACTGAAGTCGTTTTCTTTGTACGTGACGAAAAGCAAATTAGCTTGCTAAAGAAAGTAGTGAACAACCTTGTTATACAACTTTTGTTTGAAACCGTAGCCAGCAAAGTCAAGGAAATTTATTAATATTTTACATCAATCATTTCTTTACTCAATAAACTTATTAAAATTGATACTACAAATAAAAGAAATATACTCTGAAAAAGTTAATCCAAACAGTGTTTTTCGCCTGTCATTCTATTCTTTGCCATCATTTTAAAGTATATCTAGTAAAGTAAATCTCTTACCTTAGCGCCAATTCGGCTTTAATGTTAATTGTCAAAAAGCAAAATTTTAAACAATAGTTCAAAGTTGAAAGATATTTTTTTTATTTCTCTAATTAGAAACTCTGTTATGATGGTTGATGATACAACTTACGGGTATGTTAATTTGAAAATCTTTTGTCGAATGAAAGAAAGAGCTTGTTTATCCAATATCTTTACTATCAGAAACATCACAGATTTGCCTTTTAATCTTATATTGGTAATTAAAACTCTTCAATATCCTCAGCTGAACTAGTTACTTCGAAATATTTTTATTTCACTGTAATATTTCAAATACCTAAGGTTCAAGTAATCCTAAGAGTGCCTTGCAAGCTCAAGTGCTTGCCTGTTCCATATGTGATCATCGCATTATTTTTCATTGCCAAGAAAGTAACATTATATGTCGTATTGAAATATATTTTTCTCAAGTAGTCAAAGACCTTCTCTGTTTCAGGGCCTTGCAGATTTTTAGCAAGGAAGCACATCCTTCTGTTTACAAAAGTGGTGGCAGTGGTTCAAAAGAGGGCCTATCTCTCTTTGGTACAGTAAACTTTCAACCTTCTCGCAGTTTTTTAAAAGACACGTGTACAACTTCGATGGAGTAAAAAAGTTCAGTTTTCTGTTTTATAAGAAATATATTGTCGTTAGGCCATTGCTTTCTTATTCATTTCGAATCCTTGATCAAGACTTTCTGGAACTACGTTTTTGTCTTATACGAAACTTGTAAGGATACTTTCAGCCTAGCATTTTGATAAATGAAGCATTTATTATTGTAACTTAACATCAATGATTATGTTTTTAGGTATTATAAACTACACTAAATCGACAGCTGGTTCTAAACTACTTCGTCAATGGTTTCTACATCCTTTGACAAACATTGATGAAATAAAAGAGAGACAACTGGCCATCGCTTCTTTTCTTTCAAACAGAAACCTTGAAGCAGTGATGGCTTTTCAGGACAGCATGAAGCACATGAAAAATATTTCCGTGAGTTATCCTGTGCTTCAAGTTTACTTCAAATTTTAGCAGTTTCCCACCCGTGAGAACCATGAAAAGTGTGCCAACGTTGGTAATTTCAAATACTTGTCCCTCATTTGTAGAGAGGGCTGGACTGGATGCATTGATACCTTTATGTCCCTTCACATTTAAGTGTTGTTTCATACGCATGATCAGATACTTATGGTCTAAATATTCTCCTACAGTCAAAGTTGAAGAACTTGACTGTGAGGTACCCATGAATGTGAACTAAATTTTTGAGCGTGACATCTAAGTATGCAGAGGTATGCCCCATTTGGATGTGACCAATTTAAGGTCATTTAGAAAAGGGATCTTTAGGTAAAGATTTTAAGAGCTTGCTTTTCTTTCAAATTTTTGTAAGAAGAAAGCAGCGCTAGAAAACGTTGTCTATTCTCCAATTTATAAAATTTTCCAAATAAAACAAACTATAAAACTAGCGATACATACGCCATACGCCAAATAGATTAAATTTCAGGCGGATGGTGCTGGAGCATAGATGTATTAATAAGTTAATTTTCTGCTTGCTTTTAAACGTTTTTCTGAAAATTCGCTGTAGAAGGCTCATTTCATTATGATTTCAAACAAATTTTCCCTCGCTGTACGTTGTGGTTTTTAAAAGTTCATTTAAGAACATTTGGATAAAACTTAACTAAACTATTTGCATTTGTCATCGTTTATGTGATGTCCTTTGATGTCCTTTATAATATAACGAAAGTTAAGCAAATCAAGAGTTTTTTGGAATGAGACCCTGATTTAACTCATAGTACTTCGACACATTTTTATAATATTTTTAAATTTATAATTGCATAGTAAACACTGAGTGAGGAGGAAATAACTACTAAGAAATGCATAATGGTGAAAAGAAAAAGAAAAGAAAAACATGAAGCTCCCGTGCGGGGAATCGAACCCCGGCCACGGCGGTGAAAACGCCGGATCCTAACCACTAGACCACACGGGATATGAGTAACGAGCACGCGAATACTGGTATGTTTGTATCTATTGCATCATCTTTCAGGGAGTTATGTCCAAAATGATGTCGACAGGAGCAAGTATTACCGACTGGCAAAACCTTTATAAAGTAAGTTTTGAAGTTTTAATTTTTAACGAATCTTGGAAAACATGAGATAGGCAGAGAAGTTAAGTGATAAAATCATAATAATCTACTCAGGGATGTCGGAAGTATGAAAGAGCAAGAGGGGGGGGGGGGGTTGACAAATTTTTACTAAAGGCATGAAGATGGCATGTAGGTGAGGGAATTGAAATAAAAAAGGGTGGTTCAGGGTGCTCACCTGGGAATCTTTTGCTACTACATCCCACATTTTGGGTTAAAACAATATCAATATCAAATTATGTTACACTTAACTTCATAAACGATCGAACATTTCATAGCATTTTTCCCTGCTTTGACTCTTTTCATTTTTGAAAGTACTTTTCACGTCTAGATTTATAATAATTTTCCCGTTCGCGGCAACCATGGTGCCGCCTCAGGTAGAAACTTTATTGTATCCTTGTCCTAAACTATCTATAATGTTTTAGGGTGTCATGAAAGTTCACAAAAAGAATGAAGAAAATTGATAAGATAAAGTGCATTTTAAATATCTTTCTAGATACGGCAAAAGTTGCGAGTTTTTCTGTCCTCCTTACACTTACAGGAAATGCTTCTATTTGATTAAAACATAAAGAAATTTTTCGGAAAATTTCCTTTCTGGTCTCCTCTAATTCCTTTCATTCGCCACAATGCCCTTGAATTTGTAGAAAAATCTTATCTTTAGCAAAAAACTGACTCCCTCTGTGCGAACTATGTCTGCATCCTCCTCCCAATTAACTTTGAATCATTCTGAAGACACCATTCAAGCTCTTCACGAAACTTAAACACAAGACTATAAGCATTAATCGAAATCTAAAATGAAAGTTGGAGAGTGAGCTTAAAGAAAATTATTCGAAAAGATTCTTTTCACTACGCTTTTTTCAATGTTCTATGTAGGGCCATTTTTCAGGTAAATATGGGTATTTCAGAATAAAAATCAGAATTAAATTTTCGTTTAAAGCTGAGATAATTTGCCTCCTAACTAATTCATTTCTTTATGCGAATCTTTTAGGTCGTTTGTATCCTTCCCATCTTTCAATAATTATAATTTCCTAGAATTACTTTCAGTTTCAAAACTGCTTGTTCCTTGTTGAATTCAGGTCTCGAGTGCATTTTACCGAAAACACTGGGTGTGTCTAGTGGCCGATTAATTTACTTTGACCTCTCTTTCATGCTTACAGACGGTATCATTAATGTAGTAATAAGACCTAGACCAGACTTATCCTTTGGGCCAATTTACACAAAGCGATGTGCTTTTATGTAGACACTGCGATCTACCACCAGAACAATGTGTTAGCTACAGAGATTAAATCGAATCCTCTGTGTCCAATGGTTGATCTTCTGTAGGCCCTTGATTAATTATAATCAAGACTTTCCGTGGGAGTTTGGTCAAAGTTTCGCTGTGAAGATTATCGAAAAACCTATCCAGGGGCAGAAGAATTTTAGAAGAGTCTTCCATCTTTTTCATCTCAGCTTTCGCAAAAGATATTTCATCGGAATCCAGAATTTTGGTCAGTTATCATGTAACTTAGATATTTTATTTTGCTGTATGAAACCTATCGTGTTGCAGAGAAAAAGGAAAACCATACTTCCCTTGTCTGCTGTTCTACCTTTCAGCCATAATTACATCATTTCTCTAACTTGTTTCACTCACAATCTGTACCCGCCGATCACTCCCTTACCTGGCAGCATTCTCTAATCGATGTTTCTACCCTATATCGAGAAAATTGAGATGCTATTGGAATGACGTCACCTAAGATTATTACTATTTTTAATTCTAAACGATTCTTTAATTTTTGCTGAGCCTCAATATTCTTGAAAATTTTTTATTTATATTATTCTTGAATCATTTTTAAGCGACACAATATGTAAATTTGGTAAAATCGAGAAAAAAGTCTGTCTTTTCATCATGAAACTTTTTTTAGGAAATATAACAAATTAACACAATACAAGCTTGATGAATGTACCTTAAGCGTTTTGCGTAAAAGTCACTTATAGTATTAATTCTTAGGACAAAGCCCTCCTCTGGATGCTATCAGAATATGTTTGTGATGGTGTTGTAATTTTCATAAAGTAATATATAACTAAGACTTAAGAACTTTGAACTTTGAAGTTAAAACATATCCTTCTAACAATGAAATCAGTGCACTTGGTAGCATTCTCTCAATATTATTAGCGTTATTAATGCAGTATTATTCGTATTATTTTTCATGAAGTCGTTGTAGTCAGTTGTAAATTTTCATAGTCAAAAGTTATTGCAAATACCAAAAATTTCAAAATATTTTGTGCCGTTCGAAGAAACTGCTCTTATGCAGATTTTTTTGCCTTTCTCTGACCCAAATGAGAAAATTCTAGAAGTTAATTAAGCTCATTATTTTTTCCTTTACTTCCTTGTATTTCCTTAAATAAATATAATCTTCTTTCCATACCGCAGACAATTTATAATGCCATCTGTATTAGTGATATTTGCCGAGGCATGCAGCAAGACGTTGGGATAATCAAAAAAGTATTATATTTGTTTTTACACTATTTTTTCAAAATGTTGAAATTCTAGAGTTTTTGAAATGTTGAAGATATTACTTCAAAGATGTTTTCATTATATCATAAGAAGCAAAAGTAGTTACAGAAATCGCTTGTTATAGATACTTTGATCAAACTCATTTCCTCCATAAATTTATTGAAATTACTCCTTACCGTTAGCTCCATCTCTTTTTTTATATACTGAACATAAAACTTATAAATGATTAATCGTGAATGTTGTTTCACTTAATTTTGGATTATATTATGGAGCCCTAATTTTCAGTTAATTCCTTTCATGATAAGACTAAGCCAACCTTTTGTAACATGTTTTTATTTCCTGTCTTTGAATAGTCATGGTTTTGAACTCCGTAACTTGAATGTACACACACACAGTGTGTTGGAGTTACGTTTATTTCATTGCTATTTTTTTTCCAATTTATAATTCTAAGGACAACCTGTTTTATTGACTTTGTACTAACAGCGCGTGACAATCTCCTTTTTTATGTTCTACATTGGTTATAATCTAATTTTTTGTATTTTGATTTAGATAGCAAACTCATTCACACAAGAGCTGTATACAATGGCAAATCTTATCAACAAAATAGTAAGCGTAACTTTCTTCAAGTTAATGAAATTCTAAATGATGTCATGTTAGCAAGCTAATTCCATGTTTAATGCAATTAGCAAGCTAATGCAAATCGTTGTTGTTGATGATCTTTCGCGTAAATTGAGGCTTGGAAAACTCTCTTTCGCAAGTTCTTTCCTCCGTATCACTTGTGCACATCTATTCCGTATCTAAGCTAGGAAAATTATTGATACTATTTTTTCGTTTGAACCAGTAAAGAAGGACTTTAGCGAATCGAATCGTGACTTTGATCTTTGAATATACACATTATAGTCTGCCTGCAAACTCAACAATACGGAATGTTCCCCTATTTAAAAACGTCTGCAGTCAGGCTACTAACAACAGTTGATCATGCATCAAACCGACTGTACATTTGTAAATCCATTTAATCCTATCCCATCATTAAGATGAGGAGAAACCGCAAATCTCACGGATAAGTAACAGGAAGGTAGCATTAGATGTAGGCAGGAAAAACAAAAAGGGTGCAGACATCAGCTTCAAAGGACTTTGGATAAACATTGTTGCGGTTCCAAATATCAATCCTGCTGATCAATAGCCATATTAACTTATATTTCTGATCAACAAATTTCTTCACAGATTAATTAATTGTAAATGCTCTTTTGTAGAATTTGTATCCCTCATCCCATTTTTTATTCCGATTTTGACCACATATCTTACTCCAAAGCCCTACAACTGTTTATGATAATGAAACACCAGCATAGGTAGCGGGTTTCATAGCAGTAAAAAAAGAAAAAGAAAACAAATCAATAATATTTATAAGGGGTAAATTTACCCTAGAGCAGTAGCGGCGCCACGGGGGGGACTGGGGGGACACGTCCCCCCCAGTTCTCAGCAGAACCGATTTTGTATATCGTCCAAATTCGATGAGAAAATGTTGGGGGAGGGGTAATATTTTGACACCGTACTTTTTGTGATGTAATCCTATGATTTTCGAACTGCCAATTTTCAAACAAAACTTAGTCTTAGGCGTTCCCTTCGGATAAAATTGGCGTTCCCTGTTGGTAAAAGGGCATTTTCTGGTGGTTAAAATTGCATGGCTTAAATTTTTTTGGTTCCCCCCCCCCTCCCAGAGCTTAATGGCTGGCGCCGCCATTGCCCTAGAGTGTAGCTATGCAAGATATTTGTGTGGGTTTGTAGCGCTGTAGTAATTAGAACTCAGGGATTAGAGAATGCTTTTATTGTGAGTTTTTGCAATGATATAACGAGAATGAGACATTGAGGTTTCTGTACAGGATCAGGGATTAATGGTAGACTTCTATTTTATCTTTATTCCGTCATCCATCTTTTATATTAATTTAAGTAATTGTATTATGTTCTTGATAATGATATGCCAACAGGGGAACCGGGGCGTACTGCCATTAAAAGAACAGTTAGGTCTCTCCCAAACTTCTCAAAACAATCGCAAATAGTAAAAAAGTGATTCTTTTGGCATTAAAAATGGGGCTGTCAGTGTCAAGCTATGAAAACATTTACTTAGAAGAAGCAATCTTTTTATATATTGATGCTATTTAGGTTGACTTTGAAGAGTCTATTACCCAGTGCCGTTTTGTTGTCAAACCTGGCATTGATGCGGAACTCGATGAGCGTATGTATCCATACTGGCAGATTTGCAGTATACATGCATTTACTTATGTGTTTTATCATTCATTCCTATCAAGCCTTCGATAACCATCCTTAGAAAACAAGAAGGACATTTTAAAACCTTACCTTATGACATTTCTGTTTTTTACTAGATAATAAGCACTGTGGAACAGTAATTTCTTCCTGTTTCCCTACGTATACAATCTTTTTCTTTCATAAGGAACAGACAAAACTTTTGCTGAGGCTTTTCTTTTATTTTGAATGGCGAAGGTCGAGAACTCTCAATATTGAATTTGTCCATGTGTCAACATTGAATTTTCTACAACCATATTTTATTAATCATTTCACTTAATGACCACTTGATGACAGTTTTGCATGACATTTTCAGAAGCACGGTAGATTAACTAATAAAATGAGCTTTGCTTTATTAAAAGGAGAGTAAATTTTCCAAAGAACATTGTCTTTTCTTCTATTTGTATCTAAAGCTGGGTACTTGTTTTTATTTTTGATAAATTCAGCTTCTGTGTTCTTAAAAATTTGTTTTTTATAAAAAATGTTATTACTAAATAGCTGCTAGATCTTGAGGACTTTCTTTCCTTGAACAACGAGCGTGAAAAGCAAGGAAAAAGCTTGTGCTGGCACTTTCCCCAGGACCTGTTGCTTCGTTTTCAGTTGCAGAAATCTTTGTTGACTGATATTTGTTATACAGAACTTTGGACGAGTCAAATTGTTTTCTTCTTCTCAAATCCAATTGAAAGCAAGAAAACTCATGCAATGAGTAATTAATGTTAAATACGTGAATTTATGAATCATATCTTTCTTGACTGTAATGTCATTTTACAGGCAAGAGGACTTATAATGGCTTACCAGATCTAATGACAAAAGTGGCATCAGAAGAGTTGAAAAGGTTGGATAATTCAATAACCGAGTGTGGAGTCTCATATCTGCCACAGGTTTGATATGTTAAAGGTTAATTTTTTTCCTTGACTATTGATTGCTGCCTTCCCTCCTCGAAATTATAGTGAAAGATCAGTTTGTTGTTTCGCATACTTTTCTCTTTCCTAGATATACTTTTTAGTTTTTCTTGGTTTCAGAACATCTGAATTCTTCTCTGTTTTGTTCAAAACATATTAAGCCATGATTTCATAAAGTCATTAAAGCAGACAGAACTAAAAGAAACAACCTCGCTTTTCAAATAAAACCTTCTCCTTTTGTCTTAGCTGGGGTACTTGCTTGCTGTACCTATAACAGAGAAGATGAAAAACGAGCAAAAGTTTGATGTTGATGGACTTGAGTTTGTGGTTAGTTGTTTTGATTTACCAAGACTAAATCTCGATTAATGTACCATGACAGTAAGTATAGGAAAGTGGTGAATGAGCCTGACATCTTGAAAGTTAATTACTCTCAAATCGCAGAGTTTATCCAATTTCCTTTCCACTGTAATTTCTGTTTAATTTCCCGACATTATATGCTAAGGAATCCGTCATCGGGCTCGTCTTAATGAATAAGAAAACACATCAGAATTAGTGTTAATGGCTACAAATTTTGTCGCTTTGGGTGTAGTCTACTTAAAAAGGCCACAGTTTAAGTGTTTACGTTTTTCACCCTATTACGTGCTTCCTGTGGTCGATAATCTCCTTCTTTTTCAAGGGTTGCTGAAGCTCTTTTCAACTCTCTACAGTTCAGTTTATTTTCTTTAATTAGCCAACAGAAACAGTCATAGGAATGGGTTTTTGCAATTAAGGTAGTTTTGTAAACAAAGTGCTGATAACAAAATGATCAGCAATGATTATACCCCCAACACATTCAATAACGAATTTGAGTCTAGTGAGTCATCGTCTGATTGCAACAAAGTTATGGTTTGTGGGGAACACCAACATGGATTAAAAAAGAAACCACCAAATGGAATTAAATTGAAAATCCGTGTCACCAAAACGTAGTCAGCTTATCTTTTACAACCCTTTATGTTTTCTCTGCTAGAATTATTACATACACGGGAACATGAAAAAATACGCAGAAGCACAAATGATGCACATTTGATGATTAAAAAACTTTTTTGGTGCAATTCAGTAGGGAAATTTGAAATAGAAATGCACAACTTGTGTAAATCGCCTGCATCATGTAGATATTTTTTAAGCTTAAAGAAATACAAGAAACTACTTCATTTGAATTTGCAAAAAATGGTTGATGAAACGTTGATATAACCAAGATAAAAATAAAGCTGCTTAACAATATTATGAATTACAGTATGCACACTGCTGCACATTGTTAAGTGGCAGATGAAAGACAATCTATGCCAACGGAAACGAAAACCTCTAGCATACGTAGCCAAACGTATCTTTCTAAAGATCATAAACTAGATCTAGCAAGAATTTATCTTTTTTCTTCACCTTCCTTTCGTACTGTTCCTGTTTTATGATAACCTGCATTTCCTTGGAAGTTGATGAACATAGAGAAAAAATTTTTTGCAAAAGTAAGCTTCTGTGTATATCAATGTTTCATTTAGTTTTTTTCAGATGAAATAGTCCACTACAAGACAGCAGGGACAAGAGGTAGTAGCAATCTTGTTTACTTCTAGCAGTCTATTTTGCTAACAATGTCAAATTGGGATTGTCACATGAGACAGTCACGTGATGACTGGTCCTTATTGATTCGAGTTGTACCAAGCTATTTGTACTATTATGTTAGCAGAAAGCGAATTGTACGCTAAAAGCCTCAGACTAACCAGATTGGGCAAGTGCTTGACACGCTTGTGATAAACAAGCATCAGATTCAATTCTGCATTATCTTAATTTTGTACTTATTCTCTGTTGATTGATTGTTTTCTAGTGATTTCAGATCTAGTGGTTTAAGCATCGAACTGTTAAGCATGTTTTTGTTTCGAACCTTTTTTGATGCATTTTGGCAACACTTTTTATTAGACAAACTATAATAATGTAATTGTTAGCTCCATGAGTTTCTTAGGTTAGGAGTTATATAGTTTATTTTGTTTTTTCATATTATGACTTAAATGCTATGCTTAGCTAACAGATCCCTCAAAACATTCATCTTTCAGAGCTGGATCAACTGCTAGGAGATACACAGTGTTTGATTTTTGGTATGACTAATATTAGCATTGTTACTGGGTATGGGGGGGGAGTATGGGGGGGAGTATGGTGGGGAGTATGGGGGGAAATTTTATAGAAACCCACAAAACAGGGCCTTTAGCGTCCAGTGTACATTTCTAAGTGAAACCTGTTGCTAACATATCGGCATATTGGCAAAGTTGTGTTAAAGTTTTCTCTTAACTCAATCTTTTCTTAAAGAGGGTTTTTGTGCACGTAAACATTTAATAGTAATACGAGATGCCGTTAAAGTATTGATTAGTTGTTCATAAACAAGATAGCGTAACAGAAGGACAAACAAGATAGAAAGATAAACTTACGAGATAGTAGTATTCAAAGCTTGAATTACATCTCTTGTATATTTGTTCTGTTCCATTCAAACCTTTACAATAACATAGTACTAAAGTGGCTATATATGAATCACTTTACGATACTACAGTAACAATAACAAGGAGAGTAAAAGGCTATCAAAATACCATGAACATTAACATAGAGAGCACGAACTAACTTTCGCTCAATATACATCCTGTCCATTTAGAAACTTCAAGACCGTACAGGTCCGTCATCCCGATTGATGTTGAGTTCTTCCTGTTTCAAAATCAATATCTTCCGTAAAATGCACAGTGAGTAGTACTGCTGCACGAAGATCAGAAAGACGATAAACTTTACATCAAGTCAACCTAAATCAAGTCCTTTTAATCGAGACAATTACGTTTCCCTCGATGTATATCGAGAAGCTGCGAGGCTGGTCATGTATTTTAACTTTTTACATAGATGTATATAAATGAATTAACATCAATGATCAAGCTAGATTCATTATCAAGAGCGCATGTAACACCGCATCAAATGTAATTTTGGAGCAGGATACATCGCAAAACGGAAATTCGTAATTCCCATGTAAATAGTATTTTTTTTCTCTGGGTTATTTTCAATTTTTTTCAAAATAATGATACTCGAAAAAATTATTAACGAAAGTAAAACAGTTTTAGGATACTTTGGCTTCATTCCTTGTTTCTGTTTCAAAGGCGAGATGAGCTTTATTTTGTCTTTGATATACCGTCCTGCCCTATACACAAAAAAATATGACAGCTCTGCCTATACAACATCGAGCCCTTTCTGACAGACCGGTTAACCATAATTTTTATTATTTTGGTATGCTGTATAAACAATAAAACCTGACCTTTGTTGAGAAGGTCATTGGTTTCCTCAGCTTTCATGGCCGCCTTTTCACATAGGATCAACGACTTGATCGGCATTCCTCCGCTCAACGAGTGCCTTTAATTTAATATACATCAATAATTTGGCTACCATCATTTATGCTGATCATTATTATCACCATTATCCTTCGTATTACTCCTTGTAAAGATTAAAATATTGCTATATAACATATAATTCGTTTTCAGATCACGAGACTGCCATAATGCATCGACTGCAGGGGGTCATTCTTGAAAACACCCAGCTTCTGCTTTCAGTTGTGGACTTAGCGGCCGAATTAGATTGGTGAGATACCAGAGAAGTTTTCATATAAACCCTCAATTTAGATCCATACGCATGTTTACGACCTTGTGAATAATTGTGATAAATTCGTATATATCATCCTTGAAAATGCTTGATCTAGATACAGATTCAGCATCTTTCTTGCTGTTAAGTCAGTTTCCAGTACAAATTTTCGGCTTCAGTTTGCTGTAGTGCTAATACTTTACCTTAAAGGACATATTATCAAATTATCAAGACATTTTAGAATGATATATTAGAACATTAGAAATGGGATACTTTTTATGCAAACATTTTTTACTGCAGGCATCATTTATGTAGCCAGATCCCACAGCATTACGATGTTAGGCTACATAAATTGATTTGCGAAGCTCTGCCCACCAGGAGTATGACCAGACAGTAATTTTGATTTGTGCTTCGCAGCTTTGATGAAGTTGAACGTCCTTGTTCCACTTGATAGTCCTCTATCCTTTATCAAATCGATTTTAATGCATTTTTCATTCTATTTGTCGAAAAATTGAGACTCCTACGCAATACAAGGTGTAATGTTAGTTAGGTAAATATTAGGTACATTGCTGGTCGCAATATTAGGTGCAATATTAGGTGCATTATAAGGTGCAATATCAAAACTGTAATGAGTATTAGATGTTGGTACCATGAAAATATCAAAGATGGGCATGTCCTGAATGTTTTTCGATGCTAAATAGTATACAATCTTAAGGCATTTAATGCAGTTCCCGTATAAATGTAAAGCAACACGAGTAGGCGGTGTGATATCAATAGGTTGTTCACTGTATTCCTGTTTTGAAAAAGTGCCATCTTGATTAATCAGAGAGCATATAATCTAACTCAGTATCATCATAACCAGTATGCTTACTCAGTATCTGAATGGCTCGGTGATGTATCCTGTTTAAGTATTTAAAACCATAACCTGAAGCATTTTTAGGTTTCACAGCTTTTAAAAGAGCAGAAATGTGGTTTTGCTGGTAAAATGAATTAGGATTTATCACTTTTCCTGTTGAAACACGTGCTGGTCACTGTTTATCCAGCGATTAGGCATGAACCAAGTAACTCGTTTTTTCACATGTATAACTTAGTAATTGCGTAGTAATTGCTTTCACCCTTCTATTGTTTACATGTATCTCCGCGCCATCGACCCTAATTTTTAAGGGCCAGCAATTGTAAAAAAAGTTTCCTCATACCTTCTCAAGCCCAAATTGTTATGAAAATTTTGCTGACGCTGTTTGCTGAATTTTACTTATGGTTCAGTGTAATTGCTGTAATCTACAGAGTTATTTATTTAGTAATTTGAGATGATTTTAATCTTTTTTTCACAAAAAGTAGAGAGACCATGGCACCCCTTTCCACCCCTGTAGCGCAGGCCCTGTTAAACAGTACAACTTTTCTTGTCTAAATCTCCCTGGCTTTTCTTTCAGTTTGCTTTCATTGGCAACAGCAGCCCGTGAATGTAATTATGCCCGACCCAAATTAACAGAAGACACAGACATTTCAATAAAAAATGGAAGGTGAGGGTGCGGCTTTAATTTCTCCTTCGCCCCTCTAAATCGTAGATTTTTAAACAAGCAGGCTTAATAGGTAAGCAAGATCAAGTGAAAAAAAATATCAAAAACCTTTGTTACTCTAAAGGTTCTATTGTGGAATCTTTAAAAAAAGATCGACCAACAAACTGACGTCGGTAACTTCCAACTTCCAACTTGAAAAGTTTTGCACTTGAAATTGGTAGAAAAATGCTGTGAATTTTGTTCATCTTGCCTGATCACGAGATGTAGAAAGGATCTGTGCTAGCACGGGCTCTGTGAATCATTTAATCGATTAAAGTTGGAGGAAGGTTTATGTAACAATACATTATATTCCTGTCATTAAGCAGCCAATCTATTGATATAGATGTTAAGTAGCATCTAAACTTTGAGATAAGGAAATAATATCATTAATCTCGTGTAGATCATTCATAAAGCTCTTGATGAATGGGCTCTTGAAATCGAGCTTATCTCAATTCAAGATGTGCTATTTGAGAATAAGGATATAAAACTGTGCGACAATGGTTAATGATTTCGCATGGCTGCAGGATTGATGTAATGTATCATGACCAGTATGCTGTTGGCATTCTTGAAACAGGTTATGCCAATCCACCGAAGACCTTTCGAAGCATCATTACCATCTTTGCTTGATAGGAAAAGAAATACTGAACAAAATAGAAGCTAGGCAAAATTAACTTAAAGTTATGGTTATAAAGAGTTGGAAAACAAGATATTCCCGTCTTTTCCGTGCACCGTTCTTTGAAGAACTGACTAAAGCATGGTAACGTTAGGCAGCTTAACGTTACCTTGCAAACACTTTCTTTTAGAAAGCCATAGGGAACCCAAATTTTGAATAAAAACTTACTGAAGCCCGTACAAACCCAATATGTTTCTCGACTTGGAGATAAAATTGGAAAAAGGCCTTCAAAAACCCAATTTCTTTGTAACCATGCTTTTGTTGAATCTCATTCTTTTTCTTCAATTTTATTTATTTTACCATTAAGTATCATTTTATCTGCAAGGCTTTGTTCGACCTTTCTAGGCACCCGCTACAAGAGCTTTGTACCACTCAGTTTGTTCCAAATGATTTTATAATGGATGCGCAGCAGAAAAGAATCAAGATAATCACAGGGCCAAACGCTAGTGGCAAAAGTGTATATTTAAAACAGGTATTCTCGTCCTTCTGCCTGGCTCTAAGTTACAATGCTTATCTACTCATCGATGCCCAGGGTAGCCTTCACTCAAGGAAGGCAAGGTGCAAACCGCCAAGAAAAAGTCTGAACAAAAGCAAAATGAATAAGATTTCTTAACTTGATTTCTAAAAATGAATAAGAGCAAGGGGCTACTGCCCCCGTAGCCCACGCTGCGCAGGTGTCCTTGCCGATAACCAATGAGGTGAATAGAATACATCCATTGCCGATACCATGCTTAAATTTTCCTACAGAATTCACACATATGGATCAATAAATTAGTTAAGGTTTGGGATACTTGGCCCGAACTCCACTTTCCTTTTGAACAGCAATTATCTCAAAAATTGAACTATATAGCTAACGCTTCTGTGGGTACTGAGTGTGGGTACGAAGAAAATGGAATAGAAAGCACATGACCATAAGCTACTGATGCACTTCCCTCTTGATATACCGAAATATGTGTTCTTCTCCCTCGCCGACCTGATGGCAAAGGGACGCCAGAGTTTAACCTTAAGCTCTTAATCCACCCCATATGCCTCAAATTAATATAAAAGGGAACAGAGAATTTTCTTTTTTCGTTTATGTTCCTTTACTAATTGAAGAGTCTGGTATCTAGTTTAACGGCTTTTGATGGCCTATTCAATTTGCAATTTCTTTATATATGCAATTTCACTTCTAGGTGGGCCTCATAGTCTTCCTTGCACACATTGGCAGTTTTGTACCGGCCGAAGAAGCAACAATTGGTGTATCGGATCGTCTGTTCACGAGGATTCACACCAAAGAGACAGTTTCAACTCCCTTATCCACGTTTATGATAGACATTAATCAGGTAAGTTAATTCTCCTGAGACCACAGAGGAAATAACGGATTTGGGGGGAGAGACAATAGGGTTGATTCTCCTGAGATCGTAGAGAAATATTAGATTTTGGGAGAGGCTAGAATGTATTTGTTGCTGAAACTGCTTGAAGCATAAGAAACATGATTGACAGTATAGTTTGAGATGAATATTGGGAGATATTAGGGGACAGAGCCTAGCCAGCCCCCTGCTTCAGCCCTGTACAAATACATCCACACTTGCGATCTACTGTTAGCAAAATTTGTTTTAAAAGGGAAAGTATAGCTTTTTGCAGACAGTTTGGGTATTGCAGTAAACATTTTATTGATTTAAACGCAAAATCAACAAATGGTTTTTTTCGTGGGGTATTATGATTGCAAGAGAAACCTGGCATATGGATTGGCAGGATCATATCTTAGCAACCATTCTATCCACAAGCTCCAAAGTGAGCCCAGAAACGTTTCATCCCTGTTTTTAGCAAACACTCGTTAGCCTTTTGAATTGTTAATGTTTGCAAGTGGTAGATCTTGTTTTATAAATGGTCCTTCATTTTATCTTGCTTTCATCTACCCATCCACAGATTTCTGCAGCAATTCACGGGGCAACTGAAAGATCTGTTGTCCTGGTTGACGAATTCGGCAAAGGAACATCTGCGGTAAGTTCTTGGAATTGTCAATTTTGTGATATCAATTTACTAAGAAGTCGGTCATCGCATACCAAATAAACTGGAAAATTCAGATACAAAAGGCAAACTTCCCGATGAATACATGGTAATTTAAAGTGTCTGATTTTTTATTTGATATGGAAATTTCATGCGTAAAATGAAATTGAAATGGAAAACAATCTTGCACAAAATGAGAATCTCTCACTTGAAATACGGAAAATGCTCTCAGGTTAGGCTCAGTTTAGTATAGAGGCTGTTCCAGTTATTTTTGGTTCATAAAGAAGGCAGTGTCAAAATATTTATTTAGTATTGTATGAAATACGCTACTAGTGTGACATCACAGGTCAACAAAACCAAGAACACGCTAGCGTCATAAGACAACAATATCAATTTTCTTTTATCTAAATTCTTTTATCTTATTTCTGTAACCTTCGTATTTATGCAATACATTTTCAATCATTTTCTTACCAGAAAGCATGATTGTAAAACAAAGAATCATTATCAGGGCTTTGTTGAACAAAAAATGAGGTTTTGCTTTGAAGAAGTATATTAGGCCCTCCGAAAATGATAAAAAATGGTTGCCTTCTTTTCCAAAGTCTTTAAATCATCAAACTATGATGATGCAAAGATTAAAATTCATAAGATCAATATTAGAATGCTAGCAAACTTTTGACCTTGATGTGTTGCCTTACCGCAAGACAGTTAGTAGCAATTAGTTTTTTTGAAACATTTATGAACAAAAGTTATTCTTATAATCAGCTCATCCTTATATTAATAAAATATTTGTATAAAGAACATTATTCGATCATAACATGACAGTAATATGGGACGATCTTAAATTGGCGCATTTTTTACAATTCTCGTCGTCCACACACACGTATCCCAGCAATTTGGAGCCCACTATACCGTTAGTTCTTTAGTTGGAGAGTTTTAAAAATCAGTAATATATCATAATACGAGTTTGATTTTCGGACTGCAAATGCCAATAGACTATTTTCTATACTCTTTAAAACAGGCTTGATAACATTCGTTACTTGTAACCGCCTAGAGGGCCGTTACGAGGGGGCAGATTGCCTAAGGCCCCGGACTGAGAGGCAGGGTTGCCAGATTGCCCTTTTGGAGTCAAATTGCATGGAAAATTTGTTTTTTGCCTACTACTTAAATCTCGCCTTTTTGGCCATTTTATATAATATGAGGTCATTTCTTTGTTTGTTTTAAACTCAAAAAGCCTAAGTAAAAAACAAATTGAAAGAGCAATGCTGCTTGGTTTAGATCCAAATGTCAACAAATTATCAGCGAGCCTAACGATTACTGTAGCAAAGGAATTTTTTTTGAAGGAGAAAGTTTCTCAGTTTCTTGCTTAAGCTTGGCAATTTTCTAAAGGGCCTATGCATGGAAATATATAATTCACTTTGGGCAATGTATTTTTGGGGTGTTTTCTAATTTGGCCTTCTTTTGTTTACCCCATCTGGCAACCCTGCTGAGAGGGGCCTCAAAAGCGTTTAACAAAGTTCCTAAAGTAGCAACAGCAATAACAATAACAGCTTTTCTGACGTCATCATGGGACCATCTTTTTGCCCAAGAAAAGCTCTATGTGGGTCTACTGTCCTATATAAAATCTGGACGACATCAAGAATTTTTTTTCTGAAACAGTTTTATGACTTCTTTGATAATCTATAAAACCAAAATTGCCACCACGGTGTTGAATGATGTTTTCCCTAACAGGATGATGGTCTTGCGTTGCTGGCATCTGTAATTTCCCACTGGCTTGGCAAAGGCCCGAAATGTCCACGTACTTTGGTTTCAACCCATTTTCATGGCTTGATAAGCTATAACTTGCTGCCGGAGTCAGAGCTTATCCACTACCAGGTTAGCGGGTATCTGTTCATCAAATTTCTAATTTTCTATAAGGTTCAAGCAGTCTCAATCTGCATTTGTAACGTTGAGACGTCGGGGGTATGCTGCAGACAAGACAATCGTTGAAATTTACAGCAAATCGCCTTGTAAGCAGGGGTGTAGTGCTAGGGGGCTCAGGTGGACTGAGCCCTCTTTGTTGATGCTAAAAATTGGCAAATTTCTACTTTTGCTAATATTTTTCGCAACATATTATGCAAGAGAACTGAGAACTTCTTCGCGGCTCCATGTTGATCCACAATTTTGTTTGCAAGTTTCCATATCTTCATATATTCTATTTTATTTATTTGAACCTTGCCTGGTGTTTGCATGTAACGTATTTTTATTTTTCGGCGCACAAAATGAAAACACATTCAAATATGCGCATGCGTTAAAAGAACTAGCCCAGGTTCACCCCAGGTTTTGTGTCCACACTAGAAATTCAGAACACTAACCTGGGTTAACTAAAACCTGGGGCGAACCTGGGTTAGCTTGTGTAGTGTGGACAGGGCTCTAGAGGCAGCAAGTTGTTATGTTGCTCAAACCTTCTGCTTTTATATTCTGCGTTACTACATCCTTAATAAAGTGGTTTTAAGAGGATTAATAACAAATCAGAATGGAGTTCATGAACCATTCACATTCAAAAAAATATTTATGGAATGTAAATCACCTGTGCTTGCGTCACAAAGGTACCAAAGTAGAATACCTTGTCCTGACATTGCCGCTCCTAATGCGCTGCCAGCAGATCTTAAAATTCCTCGAAGCACAATGTAAATCCTTCGCTTCTTCGTCGCTTCGCAACAAATGAATATTGGATAAGGGTTACTAAAACTCAATATCTTTATGGTCAAAACCCACCATCAATCGTTCATGTTGAAGGTGCTTGCTGACATGTAATTAGGTAACCACGCCCGTATGTTGATTTCGTTATCTTTTGTCTTATATTGACATCCAATTATATCGTTCAATACTAGTGGCACTAAATTTAGTACACCTCCCCACGCTAGGGATCTGATCAATTCAGAGTCTTCCGTAAACAAAGTCTGACGTTGACGCACACAACTGGATTAGCTGACTCCTTTCCTGGGACGGCTTAACATCAGGCTTAACATGTAGTAAGTTACAACATTCCCAACAAAGAAATGATGTCGATTGATTTTCACATGATCCTGGGTTAACTTTGATGTGATTCAGGGAAGGATGCATTAGAAAATCTTATGACCCGCACTTTTCTAATCAATTCTAAACCCACCATCAATTCTAACTAAAAACCAAACTTTTTCTATTCCATGGGTCTCTCAAGTTCAACGCAATCCATTGGCGTACATTTCTAGAATGTTTCCGGTGCACTAGTTACACACATTTATCAAGAATACCTGGATGTTTGCTAAGCCTTGATTTTCTAAAAGAAATTGTAATTCTGAATCAAAATTTTTTTTTTAACCATTCTTAAGGCGAGTCTTAAAGACACAAATTGTAAACTTGGTGTTAATCTAGAATGAAAGATCAAATCTTTTTTGCTGTGTTTCTTCATCATGAAAGCATTTTAGAAAATTAAACAAGCTTGATGAATTACCAAGAGATGCAGGATCTGGGGAGCATTCAGGGATAAACTAACCGAGGGGTCATTTCGTTATACTTCATTTTTCTTTATAAGAACTTCCATTATATGAAGAAAGAGGCTCAATTTGCCGCATAAATCAGGCACCGCGGAGCGTTGAGAAAAGTGGGGAGTCTAAAAAAGTGGGGGGGGGCTAAAACCGTATAAAGAGAGGCTTTTCTGGTAGTTTGATACTTAATATTTGGCATAAAGCTCCAAAATATCAGGGCATGTTCTTTGCTCTAAAGTTTTGCCATAATATGGCAGTTTTTAACTAGACTTTGCTTTTGCTTTATATTCCATGGCCCTTCAGCTTCCTCTTTTTGTCTTACCTTTAGACCATGGACGTTATTGAAGAAAACGGGGAATTAGTGTTCCTCTTCCAAATAAAAGATGGGCACGCAGACTGCAGTTACGCTCTTCATGTTGCAAAAGTGGCAGGAATCGATGAGAATATTATAAAACGGGCAGCAGAGGTAAGTGAAAGTTTCAAGAGGGTCCTTGCGGGGTAAACTGAAAATGAGATTCGCTTATTTTAGCACTGGGAATTGGGATTCAAGCAGCTGGGCCTTGGAGAATTATTCTTAGAATAGGATGACCATTTCAGTGAGTATTAAGGATTTGCGGCCACACAGCGTTGGAATAGGATTTTACCTAAACATGACTGGGAACTGGAACCAAGTACCCCCCCCCCCTCTCTCTCTCTCTCTCTCTCTCTCTCTCTCTCTCTCTCTCTCTCTCGCTCTCTCTCGCTCTCTCTCGCTCTCTCTCGCTCTCTCTCGCTCTCTCTCGCTCTCTCTCGCTCTCTCTCGCTCTCTCTCGCTCTCTCTAGTACCCCCTCTCTCTTTCAAAATCCTCTTTTCCGGATGCAGCAACTTATGCGAATTGTTTTAAGAACAGCAACTGGCCGAACAAATTTAGAAATAAAAGGTACTGGGCAAATAAATGCCAAAGATGGTGAAGATCGAATTCAAAATAATGCATATACACTGCTATGTTTTTGAACCCCCTAGTAAAAAACCTCAATGAAAGTTGCTCTGTTTGATTGACTTTTGCACGCCAAAAGGGGCTACTGCAGCATTTCTCCTCGTGTTAAAAGGCGTTACTATGCATCACGAAGTCAAAATGAAATTCATTCTTGGGCCTTCAATAAAAAAGTTGTAATTCTGTTTCTTGGCCAAACAAAGTAACAGTATGAATGTGAATGTATCATTCGAATCGTGTTGATCAAATTATGTTGCATTATGCGTCTTGTTTTTTGTGTGTGAAACCTTGTTTATTATTGTGGTAGAGCTTATTTGATAAACTAACAGCATATTTACAAGTGAATAACTCTTTATATGTCAAATCATTCTAAATTGCCTTATTTGAAATGTATTCCTCAGTGTCGCCAAGCCTGTTAAGACGAGTTCCAACCACAATTAATTCCCATTAACCAACATTTTCAATTCTCTTGTGTTTCTTTTTCTCTAAGTAAGTCCATGAGGTCATGCAAACCACGGTAAAATCTTAACAATACACAATAAATCAATACTATCATTTCTTGTGTTTCCGTTTCCTACGGTCTCCTGTAACTGTTATCGATTATAGACTGTTAATATCAAACCGTTCAATAGACACTAGTTTACTTAGAGCAGTTACCTAGGTGTGACGTCAGCTCGCTGTGACGTAGGGTCATGCTTAATGAATTCAATATGTATCCGTAGTTAGTCGATTGAATAAAAATGATGTGAAAGAAAATAAATTTTCCATTAATTTGCTAATTGAAAGAACAGTGAAAATTTCGCTCTAGAGAAATTAGATATTTATTTATTCATAAGTAAATCGAATAAATTTAAGTTCGAATAACAATTTTTCAAGCCTTTTTTGGTAATGTTTATTGTGCAGTGGAACATAGATAACTTTCGGACGCAGTGATAAAGAAGAGAAGGGTCAATTCTTAGCTAGGATATTTTGGCTTAAATAGACGAAACGGGCAGGTATCGTTGTTTCGTTCAATATTTCTTTGATTTTTGGGATTATCTCTTGAAACCATATCATTGGCCTATTTTTCCACTTCAACGATGTGGCAAAATTTATCAGTCACGAGCTTCCTGACTCAGCCTCAAGGGCGATCGGAAGATTGTAGATGACTTGACAATCTATGCACTATAGACAGGAAGACTCTTCATTCGAGTTTAGGCTTGTTAAAGTTCAGCCTCAAACGTTACTTGTTGTTTCTAAAGTATTGGAACCTCTAACTAGCAATTTAAGGCTGGTACAGGCAATTATATTTGTCAGTCTTCATTTCACGAAACTTGCATAAACGTTTTGTTTGATATTTCATATCCACGTCAATCCCACGATCACTTCTGGGTATTTTGACTTTATCTTTTTTTGTAAAATTCTTAGGAATATGTAGTTCTGTCTTTCTCAGCCTGTCATTATTTCCTGAATGTTTCATGGTTCATGTTTTTTTACATTTATGTTTCTCACATAAAAACGTGTTGTATTTGGGGCACGTGGGCCATATGACGACCAATTGACATTTTCCTAAAAGTTTGTATGGGTTGCCACTATCCCCTTTCCAGCTTCTACGCCCAAGTTGATAACCAATTCAAAGAGGAATCCCAACATCTCAATTGAAATCTGCTGGTCAAATATCTGGAATTAGATTTATTCATGCTTAGTTGAAATTTTGCTAAAAGGTTTCATCGCAGTTTTCAATACAGAAAGAGTTATTGTTTTCACATACTGTCGTCTTTGACTATGAAATTCTTAAACACAGCTCAGAATCACACAAAATCAGCACCTGGCCGGCTTAAAATTGTGATCGTATCTCAGCCCACGTATCATTGAAAAATAAACCACATTCTAGATTCTTTCGTTACTTCTGTGGTTTGAGATAAAATGGCCGTTAACCTACTCGTTATCATTCCATGTGATAGGCATTTTCTTCTTTATTCTTTCATTCAAAACAAAGCACCTGTGACGAAAATTCTGCATAAGCTGCTACCTATCATATTATGCTCGGGATGTTAGATACAAACACAGGGTATTTGATGTTTCTTCTCTTAAAACGACTATTCTCACATTTGAATTCGGAACAAAATTTTTCTCCTGTGTGTAATTGCTTCCATTTTGCTAATGGCCTACCAAAGAGCATCATCAAGAGCAGGATAGAGAACATAAGCTCTAGGGCTTGTGAAAATTTTATACCGATCTCAAAGAACCTTGGGCAGGCCCCTTTTGTCGCTGGGTCTTTTTCAGTTATTTGATACAAGAAATTTCATAACTTTATGATATTTAGATACAAAAGGTTTGCGCATAGATATGTTCTTAAGCTATTCTAAGACGACACTACTGTATTGCTATTATTAACAATGTTTAAAGCTCCGAGAAAACTCAGATAGTACGTCGAGTTTAAGCCTTGCTTCCATTTTCACATTTATTTTTAAATTTTAGCAATTTAAATCTGTATAATTTTTACTTTATAAAAATGTTTGTATTTTTTGACTCAAAAAACGATACCATTATGCCAATAATGAGTCTTGTCGAATCGTAGGTATCCAGGGTGATCGCGTCAGGTGGAGAGGTGGAACGAATGCACTCCGTCGATTCGGAAACGAGATTTGACAGGTATCATTGTTTGGTATATGCACCTTTATTTACACTAATATATTGTTTGGTATATGCAAGAGGCATTGAGATTACTGAGCTGTTCATGTATCAGCTCTTGAAAAATTATATTTTTGTGATTCCGTTGTTACCTGAAATAATTTTTTCTGGACCAGTCCTTTTTTGTTAGAAAATGAAAGGGACCTGTCGGTGTCAGCTGAAATTCCGCGAATGGAGTTTTCAAGTGGAGCCCAATAGCAACGCAACACTATTAATATGGAGCTATTGCTTAAATTAGGTGTTTATTGCAATGACTCGATAATATGATTATATATTTAACCATGTTTTATAATGACTATATTTCTAACCAAAACTATCAAGGCAATAAAACCTACTTCACCTTGTTTCATGGATTACTAAACAAGGGACTGCTGGTACTTACGGTTGCCCCTGTACATAAAAGTAGCAAAGGTTTCGATTTCCCTTCTCAACATTTTGCGCCTTCCATAACATTATCAAAAATTTAAAACTGGTCTGCGTATCTATTCCAGTACACCATACCTGCATTAATTTTAGTAACCATTTGCTGATATCTTTTCACAGGTTCTCTGCTATCACTGAAAAGTTCCTTGAATTGGATATAGAAAGCTGTGACGTCATTTCGTTTCTCCAAGGATGCGTAAGTCTTGTGAATGAAGACTGACCACTTTGCTTAAACATCTTCCTGAAGGAGGATTCGTCAACCTTGAAGTGACTATCTCTCCTTAACGAACCGGGAAGGAAAGGTCAATAAGTTATTTACCTAGTTAAGGAAAAGTAAATTTGTTGAATTGATTATAAAATGGGATCTGTTTATTTCAAGCTACACATGCGCAGCACGGAGTCAAAAAACTAAAAACTAAATGGTTCATTACAATCTCCAGTTGATTGCAAGGAATGCTGCTAAACATATTTGTACAGTTATTCAACCTTTAGTCACTTATATATAGCTGTGCAACAACAAGTGTTTAGGGCACTGTTGTATATTTGCATGATAAAATGTTTGCAATGTTAAAATGACGTTTATCATGCGCATAAAACAAGTTCTCGGTACAAGTAACAGTTCCTAGCCAATCAACATAAAGGTATCTTGGTCTAGACTTGAAATTGTAGTTTCACAACACTCCTGGTGTTAAAGGAGGGGACAGTATGAACAAAGTAATATCGCTGAAACGTTAGCAAGAATTAAATCGTAACCAACAAGGTCTTGGACATAGAGTACTGACAGAATTCAGACCATCGAACATTTCCAAAACAGAGCCCTATTAATCAAAGGATCCATGGTCTAAAAGGATTCAAAGACTAAAAACAGTTGTGAATCCTATTCGGTTTGTATTGCTACTTTCTGAAGTTTTAAGAAAAAAGTTGTCTTCATCTCCAGAATTTTAACTTCCAGTGTCCCCCTGTCCCCATAGAAGTACATAAATGCTGTCCCTTTTTTGACAAGCCACGCCCTTCGCAAATCATATAGATTAATCAAACTTTGTAGGTATCTGACACCCAGTTAAAGTATCTGTTGTCTGAAAACTGCTTTTCTGCTCCGAAGAAAAGTATTGTAGAAGTGTTCATGTTCTCGCCCAGTTACCCATTCTTGAATTTTTGCGGGAATGTTCTAATCGTGTTTTGCCGCCAACATGGCCAAAGCTTTTTACACGGACATTCTCGATAGAGCTTTATCCCCTCCGTGTCCGAAAAATTTTCCCGCCGAATGTTGAGAATGGATACAAAGTATTAGCAGGGAAAAAAACAAGCCGCAAATTTTTTTTTTTTTGGGGGGGGGGTCGTGGAAGGATGAAAATTCCAACTTTACTTGAGGAATTTTTCTTTCGACCTTTAAATCTACTGTGCCTACAATTATATATGTTAAATGATAAAAATAATATTCATTCAAGTCAATTAGCAGCGATTCTTCTTTTTCTGATTTGCCCATTTTAAAGCTAACTTGCTGCAGATCAATTTTATCTAAAATATATCTTAACGATATAGAAGCATCAAGGAATTGAGTCTTCTTTGTTTGTTTTTGATCAAAGGGAATTTTTAGCAATTTTCAGAGGGTCAAATGCCCTTTCGTTGTTTACAAATGAAATGGGGATTCGAGAGCAAGTGCATATGCCCGATTCGTCAGATGAAACACTCTTCTTTGATCAAATTCTCCTGCAGCTTCTGCAATGCTTTCTGCCTTCACAACAGCTTTATCACAGCAATTTATAATAAGGAGTTAAAGACGTTTACAATCAGAAGGGGCAGCGTAGCATACACACGCTTTTTGTAAGAAGCGTTGAACATTTCTAGCACAGAAAGATTCTTAATTTTTATTCAACTAACTATCTACTTGTAGTTTCTTAAAAAGTTCCCATTTTAAATTTTTCTGATCAGTACAGGGTATTATTTTTCAAAACTGTAGGCTCAGTACTAGTAAAGTTTCAATTTTCTTATCTGGAAATTCACCTTGACTGTTAAAAATAATTTAATTCAACTTAAATCCCTTCAAAAAGGAAATAAACGGTGCAATGGTGTAATTTAAGATCCAGTGGATACAGGGCTTCACAATAGAAAACGATTACTGGATGGGTCCGCTCCACCCTGTGAATTTTAAGAAGGTAAATGTATCTACATTAAAATTACAAAATTCCTGTTACAAATTATAAAATTCACAAGTTTGGTCTTGAGAAAAAATTCAAATAATCTGTTAGGTTTTCCAACTGAAATTGGGTTTTTCAATCTTTGGGAGGGGCGTCACGCCCCCACGTCCCCTATTATTTACATGACTGAGTACTAGGCAGTTCTGCTTGAATGCTTAATAAACTATACCAGTGTAAGAAGGGGCAATCGGAAGAATAGGGACATGACTCTTGTTTTTAATTTTACCAGTCGCTAAAAGCAACCGTAAATTCTCCGAGTTGTGCGAAGGCCAAAACGAGGGATGATTCCCTGTGTTGTAACTAGCGTACAAGATTGCCACAAAAACAAATGATTTCCAAATATTTTCAGATGAAAAATGGGATTTCCACCAAAGGTATGAGAGATTTCAATGGAATGGTAACCTCGGAGCTTTTGGAGTTTCAATGGGGTTTTTGGCGCCTCGGACAAAAAGGGATGAATCAAAGCACCCCCTCCCCGCCCCCACTCACTAAACACAGAACGCGAAAAATATTGTCAAAAAGTCGAGACAAACTCTTTGGAAATTGTTGATACTTTATTCAGAATTGGCCTCTCAACAATGTCAGAAAAAGTTGGAATGTCGATTAAAATTGCATAAGGAATTAATTAATAAACAAGGAATTTGTATGTGAATTATTGTACTTACAAATGTAGCTTGTTTAGGGAGCATTATTCCCAGCAAATCAAATTTGACCTCCTTTTCAACACCTACCTATATGATTTTCTTACATTACAAATTTAGTGTTTATCCAATTTCAGGATAAGGTTTCGTATTTTTTATAAAAATGTCGTTAAATGACGTTTCACTGAGCATGGCGTTTAGAATTATGTTTCCATTTTAAAGAATCGACCTGCTAGCTTCTACTATCCGTTTCCCCGCCTAAACTCTCGTAAAATTGACCACAATTTCCATTGATTTCCTCAAATTCAATCTTGAATTCATAGAACAAGCAAACGTATTTCCTTTTGCCTTGTAGCCCATTGACACGCCTTACTACGTTGCACACTGCCGTTGAGGATTATACTTTTCCGCTATGCTTTACCACGTGGGTTAAGAGGAATCCATGAAATAGTATTTCATTCAATCTACAGTTCGTAGAAATGGGCTTGGCCCGTGTTGAGGTCACAAACTAGGGATAACACCGAAAAACAAAGAGTTATCTTGACAAAATTCTTGCGCTTTCATTCAATATCAAAGGTGATGCCCTGATTTTTCCTTTCTATTATGTTGCTAAGACACTTCTCGTCGTTATTGACGTCAGAGGTAAAAGTCCCATGACTTACGTAGGTCATCCCACTTTTGTTGAAATAGCCAATCAATTTCCGACATTGAAATCCGATAGAAACCGCGGACCAATCAGAGCTCGACAATAGAATTGATGTTAAAAATAGAACCATTACTCAGCCCTAGATATATACAATCGAAACCCAACTTCTGGCAGTTGTGTTCATATCCTGAGAGTTCAGCTTAGTCATCAGTCAGCTATTCGAGGGACCATTAAACGAAATTATGTCAGAGATCACGTTTTATGAGGACAGCATATACACGGAGAGCATGTCAGAGAAAGAGGCCTATGATCGTTCAAAGCTTAAACTTGATTTTGGGAGTGCAAGTGCAATATCTGCCAGCAAAAGGAACTCTATCCTCGAGACCCCGACTAGTGGGGCTTTGCTGCAGTCTCCAGATCTCATGTTGCTTAAACTTGGATCACCAGAACTTGAGAATTTGATCATGCAAAATAATGGACTTATTACAACTACACCAACGCCAACAGATTCAAGTATATCAGATCAGAGTACAGTCGAAGAACGAGAACAGTTTGCCGCTGGATTTGTCAGAGCTTTACAGAAACTTCAACAAAATGGCGAGGGCATGCCGATGACTTTGAGTGAGGCCACCTCATATGCAGCATCTCATGCCAGTTCCAGTCATGCCCAATATAATTCACAAGGCTACTCTTCACAAGATGTAAATGCTAACACGGTTTCAGTGAAGAAGGAGAGAATCGAAGCACAAGTAATTAAATCGCAAACACAGGGTAGGCCTAGCTCGGGTGTTTATCCGCCACCAAGTTGGGTAAAATCGGATGCAAGTGGCGTACGTGGAGGGCAAACTTCAGTTGCTAGAAGTCAAGGAAGGCAGCAGGTTGCAAATAGGCCAGCATGTGTGCAAAGTGACCAGAATCAACAGCGATTGAGTTACGGGATCACCACACAACCGACCATAGTTCGTTATCCACAGAATTCAAGTTCTGGCCTAACTTCAAGGAACATTTCTTCTACTGCTTCAGTTTACTCATTGCAGCCGTCAAGCCTTGAAAGATCTTACCCTCAAAGTGGAACAACCAGTCAACAAAGTGTTAATTTAACTAGGAATGTCGCATCAAATTCTCCATATCCGGTGATAAGTTCTATTCGCTCGGCATCGTCGTCACCAAAGCCCCCAGCTTACAAATTGGAGGACGAAGCCCAGATTGTACCTTCAAACACTCCACCACTCCAGTCCGCCCCAATTGACTTGAAAATGCAGGAAATTATTAAACATGAGAGGAAAAAGTTGAGGAATCGTCTTGCTGCTCAGAGATGCAGAAAAAGAAAAATTGAACGGGAAGAAGAGTTGAAGGACAAAGTAAAGGATTTGAAAATGACGTACACCGAACTGACAACAACACGCTCTGAACTCAGAAAGCAAGCGATTGAACTTAAACAAAAAGTTATGAATCACGTGAAAATGGGATGTCAAGTCTTCCTTCCAAATTCATCTGGAATCGTTACAGAAGGACTATCGCTATCATCGTTAACTGAACTGTAGTTTAATCAGTTTGTGGTATCGCAACCCAGTGAAGCCATTTTCATGGGTTTTCTTCAGCCATAGTAAGGCCACTGTTCTAGTGGCGTTGGCTGTATTGCAGACATGGCTGTCAAATCTATTACCCGTGAGATTGTTATTGTTAGGGTAACTTCCCTCGAGGTAATTGCTTAGGAAATTGTCATAGTACCCGTTAATTTAGGTCAAGACTAAATAAATAGGCTCAGGATTGTTATTTGATAGTTATGAATGCTTTCACGCCAAGTCAAACAATTGCATCAAATCTTTTGTGAAGCATTCGAATTTCACACATTCTTTTCTCTCAAGTTAGAATCAGGTGTAATTTGACAATAAAAGGCTTTGTTTAGTTTAATAGCAATGTTAGAGTGATGCACAAGTTTCAGAAGACAGACTTTTCCGCATCCTTAGAATGTCTGCCAAATTTCCGGTGTCATTTCCCTTTAATCTAACATCATCATACCAGCATTTATTTTTGTTGTGAGTTTCCCTAAACTGGAAATCTTTACGTACTGAAGTACCATTTTCTTATTTATTTGAGGACTGTTTCGAAATACAATTTATGTAATTTTATAAGTTTGTTGTTTTGTGTGAAATTCAAAACCAGAATTCACTTATAATTTAGAAACCAATAGTTCAAGCTGGTTCTTGGAGAGCGACCACCAAGACTAGATTTAATAGAAAAAGGTTTATGTTTTGGCAGGGAAATTCAATGAGATAGATTTATAATGATATTATATTGTGACAAGATTTTCTGCGAAAATTGTTTGTTTTATCTTGCCTAGAATAGTTTGTAAAGATTTTGTACATTCGTATTGTAGAGATGGTAGAAATTGAGAAGTATTGTAAGTTTAACTTAGTTGATGATAAATGCATGCATATTTATTTACTTGTCAGAAAAAAGACAGTGTGATATTTTTAGAGGTTCAGATTAATCATTTGCTGCTAAAGACAAAATATACTGCGTATTTATATATCTTCTCTCGCTATGGTTTGTGTCGTCAGAAATTCAAGAAATTAAGAATTTGGGCTTCAAATTCTTCTAAATTTTATTATAGTGTAAGTACCCTACATAAGTCATGGAGTAACATATAAGTATCTGTGGAGTGACACTTGACAAAGACACAGACAGTTTATGTTACGAGGATATTGTCTCGGTTTAAAAGCAGTTACGTGTCCTTGGGTTTCTCGTCACAGCTACCATCTCCCTCTCGAAGCCTTTAGTATTTCAAATAATTGAAAATTTAGGACTATCTATCTTGCTTAGGATAAACAACTAACAGAATTATTAGAGGTATCAGATAAAGTTATTATCACTCTATGAAAATCAGGTACGGCTTTAAAAAAATCCTTTTTTGAAGAAAGGTCCTGTTGATCTAAAATTATAGTTCAATCTTTGAAAAAGAGTGATACAACCTTTAATTTGATTAGAAATGGACGAGAACTATGTGCAAAAAGATATTGAATCTGTGTTATTGATATTGAGGTTGTTATTGATAAGGTTCCCACGAAACAATGTTTTTGAAAGGAGGATATAATAACAGGTACTCTCAATTTTACAATTCATATGTCATGGTAACAGGGAATAACTTATCTCCGGGAACAGGTATTTTTGTTTGAATATATGGTTGAGGGTTTTGGCAAGTTTATGCTTGAATAGGTGAAACAGGACCTGCTTTGTTAATGAATCTTATGCAATTGATACGTTAGCAATGGATCTTGAAATACTACCCCAAAATGGTTGTCCAGAAAAAAGCTTTCACTACTGCCCGTGAAGCCTGTGTTCAAGACCCCTATCTGAAGCACAGGCGAAAAAAACAGCTTTTCCTCCTGATTTATCAATAAAACTCCCTCTCGAATAAACCCCTCCCCTCCAATTGATAAAGAAGCCAACTGGTTGCAACTTCCTAACATTTTTTTCTCTAAGATAAGAAGAATATATCTACAGCTGCATTTAGCAGGGATGGTGCCATAAAATTGAAGCTGGGGGCTGATAATATAGTTTAGTGACATAGGAGGACCCACCATGGTTGGGTCCGACGCGCCAGGAAATGTTTGAAAATCGGCCTTTAGATTGGCTAAAAATTCATCTCCCAGCCTAGAATTCTACAAAATACTATACCGCTCAGAACAGACAATTCGTCGATACTCAGAAAAACATCGATTTTTGATTTTTAAGAAAAATTTGGGAGGGGAGGAGTCAGAGACGAGGTTAGGGAAGAAAAAGTCAGAGACGTTAGAAAAATAAAAAAAAGGTAACCTTTGGCTCAAAGTGCACATCGATGAGAATGAAGCTGTTGTATTGGTTGAGAGAATTTTACTTCCTGGACAGAAATGTGTATCTACTTTGTCTCGAGTATTTTCAGCAGACCATATTTGCACGTCCAAAATGTGGACATTGCAATGACACAGAAAGTTAGCTAATGAATTTATGCAAATAATAGACAAATAATAGAAACATACGTAAATAAATTAGTAAAATTCAGGCTGTTCTTCATATTTTTATGCTCTTTTTTAAAAATTGTTAAAAGAGACGGTCAAATTTTTTTTCTTGAAAAAGTAGGAGAGCGCTTCAGCAACCCAACCCACCCCCCCCCCCCAGTGGTGTCGTGCCTGTTTGGTTTATTTCACTAGCTTTTTGTTCAGTTAAATTGAAGAACCTTCTTCTTTTTTATATATATTTAGTGTCAAATATGTAAAAACGTGCCAATAAATCGAACGAATTCTTCATCCACAGTGTAGTTCATTTCCCAAGTATATTAAAATTGGAACTTTAGTATTTTGACGCTAATTTTGTCACATTACCATGCATTTTACCATTCATATATATTTTACCATATATATATATATCTTAACGAGCCATGATTTTGTTGTACGACGGTACCATCTGTCAAAACAACTTGGCAAACTCTGTTTTTATATATATTTATATATAGCTGTTTGCATTTTATTTGCTCGAAAAATAAAACTCTAGTTTAAGTAAGACATAAAACAAGCCCCAACTTGTTTTAAGATATTTTGCTAATATTTTGCTAATGCTTTGGAAAGTTTCTACTCAGGTCAAATTTTAATCTGGTTTGTGGGATTAACTCAATTTTTTGTTTTCTCTGATGAAAATTTTCTCAAATCACCTTTTCGTTAAAATTCTACGAATTAGATTCTGCAAGAAATCATTGATGCACGGAGGGTAATAATTCGTATTGTTTGCACCTGCCGGGTCCCCGACTTTGACGGAGTACAAAAAAGTAGGATATAAGTATCGTGCTTTTTTGTACCACGTGGGTTGTTTTTTAGTATTTGGTGAATGTAAAGTTACATGGACCATAGATTTTACATAGGATATTTTTAAAGATTTCAGAGATTGTCCTGATCGTAGGTCTTAGACCAATTTACCCCTTCAGGATCCGCTTTGTATAAAAGATACCCCTGAAAATGAATGGTCGTGCGCCACTAGTTTTACACAACTGATTCGACTTGGTCTGTCAGGGCAGATAAAGTCCAAGAAACAACGAAACCTTTTCATCAGAGAGATCTTCGAACAATTGGGGCAACCAGCCGGAATTTAATGAGCCATGTCAAATCTGTGGTTGTTTATCAAATTTGGATGGACAAGAACTTCCCCAATCACTTATGATGTAAATTGCTGAAGGTAAGAAAGCTTTTGTGTTTTATTCTCTGATATCGCATCATATATTTGCTATTTTTACATACCCTAGAACGTAAATCACTGCTTTTCTATTTATCGACCATTTAGCATACAGTAATTTATCAATGCAGTAATGCAGTAATGCAAATACTGTTTAGTTTGATATTGATGTCAAAAAGAACAACCGAATCCTAAAAATTTGCTGTGATATGGTTATAGAAAGACTTAAAATTTACCAAATAGTCAGGTATTTTGATGCAGATGGTGATGGAATCAATTTTTAGAAAATTTTAGTTTGTAAAACCTTGGTACCAAAATTGTTTACATCTGCACACCAAGACCTTGAGGTAGGAAACATTTTAAGGGTGCGGGGGGGGGGAGATAAAGTCAAAATAGGGTCACCCCTATAAGCTACAAATAGGTACTTTACCACTGTTTCAGAAAAGTTAGGGGACACTTGCCTCCTGTGCCTCCTGGTTCTTTATACTTTGTACGACGGTGTACATTCACAACTTTAAAGTCGCCAGTCAAAAAGTTTAAGCAATAATAAGCAACTGTTTTAGTTTGGCGCTTAGAATCTACAATCAGAGCACTACCCTGGGTGCCAGAGCCTCAGAGAGTCAAAGAATGAAGAACGGGGGAAGGAATTGCAAAGGAGAATGGAAAGCCCTCCACTTTTTGAAAAAAATGCCAAATATTAAGTATCAAAGTACCAGAAAAGCCTCTTTTTATACGATTTTAGCCCCCCTCCCCACTTTTTCTAGGCCCCCCACTTTTCTCAATGCTCCGCGGTGCCTGAAATATTTCTAAACTTAAATTTATTCAAAATTTCGACTTAAAACGTGCTTACATACGATATTTTTCACAAAACATTTAGGTTTATCATTTCGAAAACCATTTCAATCAAATGCTATCAGAAGTTAAATTCTTTCCTTTGCATTCCAAGAAACCAGTGATCAGTCCTGTCAAGTTTATTCGTCCATTATGTGCAATATGGCAAATCCTTGTCATTTTCTTGACATCTTTTTTATGTCAATTTTTAATTCCATGAGACAATACCTTTACCCGTTAATGTTTCACACTAATCAGTCAAGCACAAGCAAAAACTAGATTATTCGGTAGGCGAATCTTTAAGAAGATGCAACAGTCCTTGTTGAAGTTTGTTGAAGTAACATTCGCATCGCATTATCTTAATGCCCTGGCTTGAGTAAAAGAAATAGATGAAACAGAGTTTGTTTTAGAGTTAACTACTGAATCACAACTCTTTCCTTTGTTACTAGCTTCGATCCTCGCCACTGTCAAAAATTAAAGGGAACTCAACAACTATTGCTGTCCATATAAACTGAACCTGGGTCTATGAAAAATCAAAATTACAGAAAATTCCATCATATTGAAAATTTTGAAAAATGTTTTTTCAATTTTGACCCAATCCTTTTTACAACTTCATGTTATGACGCATATTCAACTTCAGTTTTGATGTAGTCCATGGTGTTGATTATTGTTAATAGGATAAAACAATAAGATTTTCACGAAAGGTGTACGGGATTTTCTTAGAGTGATTTGCCCCTCGGTCTCTCCAAAGTTGTCAAAGATAAAGATCGTTCTCAACCTAGCGGAGAATAATAAGTTCCCTGCAAAGTAGTATGACAGAGATAAAATAACCTAATGATGCTTTGTTCTCACCGGCTAATAACTGATAAAATAGATTTGAAAAAGGTTGCAAAAGGCTTTGTACAGTGCAACGATAGTCGCAGACAATATTTGACAATTTCTAAGTCATAAGGTTATTTTCATCCAGGTCTTATCCAACTTTGTCTTCCCCTATACTGGAAAAGTGTATTTTCATCCCCTGTCATTGTAACTCGGCAATGTACTCCAACTTTTGCACTTTGAGGAGCTATTCCCGAACCGCATTCTTCCTTTTTCAATTTCGAGCACTGAATTTTTCATAATTATATTTTTGCAGAAGACAGAGGGAAATGCAATAGCAATGCAAATATGAATTTGCTTCAGTAGTTCGAAACTGGTACTAAGTTTAATACTGAGCGTGTCCTGTATAACGGCCAGGTGTCCAGCGAGCTGTCAGATAACTCAATTTTGCGTTGCGTTGGCATTGGATTGATGTCATTGCCGGTAGGAATACCGTTATCGGTTTGTTTCATTGATCTTTCTGATAATCCACATTTGAAACTCAAATACGATTCATTTGAACGATTTTTCACCTGCAATCATTGCTCCTGCGAGGATGTGCATTGACGGCCCCAATCTTACTTCCAAGAAATCTTGTTACCATTGACTTTTCCTTCAACTT